TTTGAGTCTTTGGGTATTTATGTATGGTCTAATACGGTACATCATGCATACATTTTTTTGCTTATTTATGGTTCAATATATTTAATGGAGGAGTTATTATTGGCAAAAATCCAAGGTTTTTTGTCAATATAACTCTTAAGAATTTTATAGAATCTCGTTGATTAATTTTTGTTGTTAAAACGTACAAGTTCTCAATTACATCTTGAAAAGAGGTAGTGCAATTGTGTTGATACTTAAGTATTTCAATTATTATTATTAAAAACAAAGATATGTATTGAACATACAGTTAATTCAATTGAAAAAGCTTAATTTTTTTTTTAATTTTCAAATGTAGAAAATAATTTTAAAAATACAGTTGGCCTTGTTCTATAAAACATGTTTACAAAAACAAAAATGTTAACGCAGCTACATTGTACGCAGCTACGTTGCAGATACGCAAGTTGCTAATAAGGTAGTAGATTTGTTATTTATAACTTATCATATTCTATAAAAAAATTTATTTTTAAGTTGGTTATAAATATAAATATTTTAAAATGTATGAAAATTTTGATGAATTGTGCAAGGACCTTTTGTCACTTCGTGTTTTGAAAGCCTATAACGTATAATATACAATTTTACAAACAATATCTTTATACTAAATAGCTTCCCTGCGAGCATTTGTTTTTAAAAGTTACGTTCTAAATGTCTTTTAAACGTTTTTTTAAACGTCTTTTAAACGTTCTTTACGAAAGAATGTTTAGAAAACGGTTAAAGGACATTTAAAATACATTTAGAACGTAACTTTTAAAAACAAATCCCCGCTGGGTTAGGTCTTCATGCATAGTTTGTAAGGTATTATCAGCCAAATCTAAACATAGTTATTATTTTTCTTAACATACGTTTTAGTTTATAAGGGCTCCAAGAACCAAATAAAAGTTGATTAAGTCCAGCTGGTAAGAATAATAACAACAATAACAATAATAACAACAACAATTATAATAAAAAAATAAGGATAAACACAACAATTACACACAAACAACAACAATACCCAATCGTAATATTATCAAGAGTAGTTTATTTATAATATATTGATGATAATTGAACTTTAAATATTACGATTTTATAACGACATGTTATATTTGACAACTTTGCATAGTTTATATAACTATGCAAAGTTGTCAAATATAACATGTCACAGAAGATAACGATAATATAGGTATATATCACAGAAGATAACGATTACAATATATATATATTACAATATATCAATGGCTACATCTTGTGATTTCGTAGCTAACTACATAAAAAATTTAAAGCTACTTGATGATTACATATCGTTATCAATGGCTATATACCATATACTCAATATTGTCCACAATATTGAGTATATGTTATGTAGCCATTGAGTATATGGTACAATTATAAAATCATATAATTATATTTAACTGCATAATTACATAAATTCATTACACTCCTTTAATACTTTCTAAGTATTTATTAATACAATAATATTAAATTATAAATTGGGCATTCATTTATATTGCAGTTTCTTTTTATATTTTTCTTCTAATATTTATTCTTTTTATTTTATTTTTAGTATTGTTATTATTAGTTGTTTTGGTTGTACTTTTTTCCCTAATTGCCTTTAATAAACCGACATCTATTATAAGTCATTTTTTAGGCTCATAAACCGTTTGTCCGACATCTATTATAAGTCATTTTTTAGGCTCCTATCTCCTATCTTATATCTTTATGTCTTTTGTTCTAGTACTTTTTTTTTGATTTCATTATAGCGGACTTAGAGTCAAATTTAAAAATTTAATTTTTTTAATTTTAGTTCTGTGCTCCAAGTATTTTTTTTTTTTTAATTGATTAACAACTTTTAAATTTTTTTCAACTAAAAGTTATTACTTATATCTTTGTGCAAGAAAGTATAGCTAGTTTTTCACAATTAAAAAATTAAAACTTTCTAGTTTGATGTTCATAGCTATTATCAGAGTCTTTGTATCAGAATTATTGAAGAACAAACTTTTATCTCCAGTATACATGGTTAAATATATTTTAGATAAATCTTTATGAATATTGTAGCTGTATATTAAAAATAATAATGACACTAAAAAATAATAATGACACTTTAATAGGATTAAAGCCTTGTGAGACAGCTTACAATAAATCGACATTGCTTCCAACCTCACCAAAACTCACTAGTAAGTTATGGTAAAGTTAGTATACTGTTTTCATAAAGATATTTTTGGATTTACTTTAAATTTAGGCAAAAATGTTGTAAAAGTTTATTTTAAAAGTGAAGTAATGAATTATCTTGAAACTTAACAATATCTAATGCTTGGGAGAGATCAATATATATTCATCTTAATCTAATAAAACTGATATTCTTTTTACAAATTCAACAACAGCACATTCAGAAGAATATTTTTAAAACCCAAATTTATTCTTGAATAAAATTGTATTTAATGTCAACTACTTAAAAATGTTATTAAAAATTACGTTTTTCAATTATTTTTGAATGCAGGGAGAAAAGAAACAGTTTAACTGGTAGAGACTGTAAAGGAATCGTTTTTTTAAATTAGGTAAAATTTAGCTGATAGTAGTTTATCTGGAAAAATACTGTTTTCAAGAGAATATGCTTTTATATAAAATAAAGCTTTTTTAATACTATTCATAATATACATTACAAGTAACGTCATTTGTTACGTCACTAGTAATGTTTGCAATACTAATTTAAACCAACGCGTTTTTTAATAATCCCCAATAACCACTGCAACTTCTTGTTTCCTCAAAATAATTCCTTGTTCACTCGGATTACTGCTGCCTTATGTGCTTTGGAAATGTGCCGATTTCGGAATTAAAAAAATAATATAAAGAATAGTTGCACAAAGTAATTGCGATGTTTGAAAATTAAAATCTATGCTTTGATGCCAGATATTAAAATCCATGCTTTAATGCCAGAGCGAGCAACTGCAATTCGCGAGGTTAGAATTATTTTGTTATATCTCCACATTTTTTTGTTTCGAGATAAAACGATTTAAAAAAATAAAAACTTTAGGAGACGGCATATAAAAAGATTTTTATTACTTATGTTTTCTCCGAAACTTTTTTGATTTTAACTTAGGTTTTAATATAGTAGAAAAACATTATTTTGAGGTACATTAACTCATTTTTTTCAAAAAGTGGAGATAGAACAAAATAATTCTAATCTCGCGAATTGTTACTGTTGCAGAGAAAGATCGTTTCTAAAACAAACCCCTATAAAATCAACACGCTTGTAATTAAATAATGATATCACAATAGCTGAGTGATGAACAGGTTTTTCTTAGTCTAAGAAAAACCTGCTCTAAGACTTAGAGCATAAGATTTTAGGCCTTTCCTGGTTATACAAGCAATTGAGAATTGAAACAACCATTTTTAACAAAGTAAAGGTAAAAATGGATTTTGCCAATTCTATGGCATTTATTTTGATCACACAAATAAAATGGTTATTTTATATAAGAAAAATAAAAAAAAGAAATTTTATCTTATTTGACTCTTTAGAAACTATCGTTTACAAATGATCATTAATGCAAGGCATAGTAATTTCGATATTTGTTTTATAAAACCGAGTTCGATTCCCACCACGTCCCTGGTAGTACCGCGCTCAACTCGTTTCTCCGCGCAGCGGCCTTGTTCGTCAAGGTTCGTGTTTCGGAGTTATAGAGTTGAGAGAGGGTTATAACCACAAATAAGTAGCCTCCTCGTCTGTAGTTGTCTTCTCGGCCTTGAGGAGGAGAATTAAAATTAAAAAAAAAACAAAAAAAACACTAGACCTTTTTCAAAAGACTTAGTGCATATAAAACTTGACAAACCTTTTAGAGAGCGGACAATGGATAACGATTGGTTAAAAATTAAATCCATTTGCAATGTCTTTTTACAAGAAAAATATCGTATACCGTTTATTATATTACGTCTCCCACATATGTAAACTTTTTTAGTCTATACTGGTAAACATATTAAAATTTACTTAGTATGTAGTTGCTACCGAGGTTATGGCAAGAAAAAAGTCGCAGCACATTTTTTAATAAGAAATTGTAAACTAAAGTATATGCAAATATCTAACTTATATAAATTTCAAATTATGTAATGTTAAAACATATATCATGTTTTATAGTTTTACTTTTACTTGAAAAATGCTTTGCGACAACACCTCTTTAATTTCAATTTATACAATTTATTTGCCGTTTTATTAGGTCTTTTGTTTGTTAAAGTGTAAAAACTATTATCGAACAATACGCTATAGTGGCTTGCTCGCAGCGTTTCTGCAGTGCATTGCCGTGGTTCAAATCACTTACTCTTTTTTATCTTAAATTAAATCTTATAAGACTTACAAATACCCGTATTTTTACGGTTCCGGTCAGCTAGTTCAATAATATTAGTCAGTTTTTTCAAACATTTTAGTAATGAAGCGGACTACACAAACAATTAGAGCCTTGACAAACAGAGAGTGTGGAGAATAATAATATAATATACAATAATAATAATAATTTACGATAAATAATTTTGAAAAGTCTAAATTTTTTATACATTACACTTTATAAGTAAAGGTACCTAAGCAAAATAAATACATGATAAATAATTACATAAAATTATATATATATATATATATATATATATATATATATATATATATATATATATATATATATATATATATATATATATATATTCACACACATATATATACATATATACATAATACACAATAAAGGACGCCTAATTATCGATAAAAAATTATTACATAAATCTATAGATAATAACCTAAATAAAAGACACACAAATATAAACATAATTAATGACACCCAATTGAACAAAGTAATTAAAAAAAAAAACTAACTTTATATGAAACTGTGTTCATTGCACAAAGCTTTGTAATAGATATGTAGTCTTTTTTTTTTTTTAATTTTTTTCGTGAAACGATATTAAAAACAAAACAGATTTTGACAGTGAAATCACATTAAAAAAACATAATATTTTGCATTAAAAACTTTATTAGCCGGCTAATAAAAAATTCTACAACTTTGCACGCGTTTTTTTAACTTTCAATCAACAAGTACAATATAATCATTTCATAAGGAAATGTTAGAGAAAATGAAAGTGCATAAATTAGAAAGGCAAAATAAATTAGATAATCTCTATAAACTCATAAACTTAATCTTAAAATAAGATTGGCTTCAAAAATCCTAAAAACAAACATCAAATGATTATGGCTTTATATAACTATAAGCTAATCCCATGCCAACGGCAAGAGCAGCAATACCGAAAGGAGTCCACTCGTTTACCACTTGAACAATTTTTTGTGTGTATGAAAGATTTTCATTAGACTGTTGTGGAAAATTCGTGCTTTCTGCGTCCGGAGTTAATTCTTCATCACTGCTCATGCCTCTATATGCTAATCCCGTTGCATTAAACAACGTCTCATCCAAATCCATTGTTTTCTAAAGTTTTACGCAAATCTTATAATACTTTTGCAGTAAAATATATTTCACAGATTTCAAACTAAACTCACATAAATAAAATTTAAAATGATTTTAATGAAAACTCATAAAAGTTTCAACTTAAAACACAAAATTCTAAATTTTCTAAATTCTCTGGGATTCTTAACAAACTCTTCTTAACTCATAACGATTACAGTTTAATTTTATCTTTATATATACCAAAATTTGTTAAACGGAATAACTTTTAATAAAGTTAAAAGAATAAGGAATGTAGTAACTTTAATGGAATAACTTTAAAACAATAAATAATGTTAAAAACTAAATGTTAAATTTATCAACATACCTCAATTTCATCGGCATTTTCCGTTACAAATTTAGTAGAATAATCAACAAGTAACTCTAACTGATCATCATCAAGATTGCCAGAAAATATTGTTTCTTTAACAGTATGAAGTACAAGTGCCACTCGTGTCCACACACTCCCAGAAACGTTAAAAAGATTTTTATTATAAACATCTTTTGCAATTTTCACAAATGATTCATAAGATATCATATCGTTGTTTTCAAGAGGTCGGAGTAGATCATCAACATGCTGTGATAGTATGTCAGGAAAATCTTTCATAATTTCTATTGCCATCTCCTCTAAACGATTCACAGCGTACGCTTGTGGAGTGAAGTCAACTGCTATATCTTGAAATTCTTTAATGTTATGCTGAGGTATTGAAAGACTAAATACAAAAACAAATAAAAATGTCAATTAAAAAAAATAAAAGTGCCAAGGAAATCTTTAAAAGGGTTTCCTATTTTAGTTTCCACTATTTATATTTTCTACTTTTTATTTAAATAATATGTTAGATAGACAAATGAATAAAAATACATGAAACAAAAAGTAAAACAACAAAATGAATACACAAAACACTTTAACAACAAATGACACAACTCATGAAACAATACATGAAACAATAAAACCCTGCATAAAGTAATACACGAAACAATACATGAAAGAAAACAATACATAAGACAATACACAATATACTTGAAATAATATACAAGATGATAAAATTCTGCTTTAGTGCAGATTTAAATAAATATTAAAAATAATAAAATAAAATATAAAAAAACAAAATTAAAATCACATCATTACACACATTACACAAATATTAAAATTCAAAAAATATTCATATGCAATAATATTATACTTTATTAAAAAAATACAAAACTTATAAGTATTAATTGTATAAAATATTAAATAATGTTTCTAAAGAATATTTAATATTTCTAAAAAAAAAAAAAACTTTAAAGAAACCTTAATAAAAAGTTTAATTTTAATACATTAAGTAGTTTATTCGGATGTGTAAAATTTCATACTTCACTCAGGTATATAATTTTTCAAATTCAGACCAAATAAACAAAATTTTTTTAAACATTTTTTTTATGATTGTCATATTATTTAAACTATCTTATATGGAAATAATAATATTTATCAAAAAAAAGAAAAAAAAAAAAAAAAAAAAAAAAAATTAACAAAAGTTATTAAAATTATTAATAACAAATTAATAAAAATAAAAAATTCATAGATTCTTTATTGGTGACAAAGTAGCAACATATATTGGTAATATTATTGTTGACAATAAAAATAGTTTAAATAAATCATTAAAATCTAGTAAAAAATTTTCAAAAAATTCATATCAATTTCAAATACTCATTTAACCATTAACCAATAACCATTTTACTCATAATATGGCTTAAAGGTTCAATTTAATACAAGTAGTTTGAATGATTCTAATTCAATTACTCAAGTGTTAAGGCTGAAACAGGGTGGCCACACTTTTTTTATCTGAAAAAATCTTTGGAGATTTTAGGAAGATTTCAAAAATAAAACTACTTCATTTTTATTTTAAAACATTTTAAAACTGTAAAAATGCCTAGCTAAGATAAATAAGATAAAATTAGGGCCAAAACATTGTTGTTTAAAAAAAACATTCCTACGCATACAAAAAATTAACTTAAGACAAATCATTTTCATACTTGCATTAAAAATTAATCAAATTTAATAATTGCACTAAATAGACGACTTTATGATTAAGTAGCAAGCAATAAAAAATAAAAAATCATTAAAACACACAGCCAATTTTAAAAACAAACCTTTATATTTCATATTATACAGTTATAAAAAGAAATAATCAAATCAGAAAAAAAAAACGATCAAAAAATTGATTTATCAAAACCTAAACCTCAGTGTTCCTGTCAACAAGTACTTTTATTGGTGGTGTAATTTTCCCAGTGTCCTGCTTTTCAGAGACAAACATCTTTAGTGCATTAGATTTCAAAATTGTTGACTTAATTTCTATCAATGATTTCTGCTTTTTCGCTTTGTAATGCATACTTATCTGCATCTGAGTTGAAGTATGGTACCTGCAAGGGTGCGAATTGGCTCATTAAAACTAGCAATTAAAATTTATCTAAATTAAAATTTATCAGTTTAGTATCACAGTCAGTTTTTAAGGCCTTCAAGGTTACCATATTATTATCCAGAAGTTAGTGGTTTATACTAAATCCTTAAGCTGGCCATGGGACAATATTAGTACCAATTGGTAAATTTTCCTTGAATCTTGAAACATCTGTATATTGAACCAAAAAAGAATTCAATCTATCATATTTTTTTCCTAACCCAAGTAATTTCTCTTTGTTTACTTTGACAACAGTAGTTAAAAATTATTAATACTACAATTTGACTTGATCAGCCGCTGAAGTTGATTATTAGTTGCTTTGTAAGCATTTAGTTTCAGCAACAACTTGTCAAAATAAAGTTCACACATCTCATGAGATTCAACCATGTATACAGGTAATAAACATAATAAGCATGTGGAAAAATATGAGTTTAGTGCACTATATACTAAACTAATATTAACTATATGTTTGTACATTGTAACTAAAAACTGCTGAACTTCTGTTTTAAAATTAATTGTTTGAGGATCAGTTACTTGTTTTTCTAGATTTTAGTTACTGCAACTCATACTTTATTCTAAATCTAAAATCATTATTTATCAAAAAGATGAGCAAAATTAGTGAACAAATGCTTATCTAAATACACTATAGAAGATATATATATATATATATATATATATATATATATATATATATATATATATAAATATATATATATATATATATATATATATATATATATATATATATATATATATATATATATATATATTTCTATAAAAAAAAAGTGATAGATTGGATTTTTTTTTGACTGACACTTGATTTTTGACATCACTGATATTTAAGCATTACTTTATATATTGAAGCATCAACAACTTAAAAGTTGTTGATGCTTCAGAAAAAACTTCTTTTCTAGTAAATTTTGATATAAATAGCATTAGTAAATTCTTAAGTGTTTCCACAAGAAAAGGTGCTATAGGATTGCTGGTCTGGAAAACTAACAAGAAAAAATTTAACAACCTTGTAGTTTCCTTAAAAAATTACAACTTTATAGGGACCAACACATCTTTATAACACGAAGAAAAGTATTCATAACTTGGTATTTTACCCAGCCTTACATTGACAGGGTTGCTTGCTATTTGGTCAATTTTTCCAATAGCCAATAATCACAATAATCTTTGGCCATATTTCCATAGCTTTCTTTGCTACTTTCTCATTTTCATTCCAACAATGGCTACAAGTTGGAAAATCAAGCTTGAGTGAGATTTTAGAAATCAGCAAGGCGGGAAAGGTTCTTGTGAAATATCTTATACAACAAAAACAATTTTTTCAATTTCTATACTGAAGTATTAGTGCAATGCTTGAACAAACAATGCATTGTGGGCTGCATGACTCAAATGATGTCAACTGCTTGAGTTTACATTCACTTCTATTTGCATTTAAATTAGAGAGGAAATACAATATTAACATTTAGGCCATCCATGGAAACCTGGCGCTTATCTTCTTCTAAACCACTCAAACATTTACAGAAGTTTATCATAATATTGACAGTAGCAGCTTTTCTCAAGAATTCAGAGTGGTAATATTTTAAAACAAACTGGTTAAGCTCTTTTAATGTGTTATGCAAAATTTGCTTAAAACATGTTGTAACTCCAAAAAACTTGAGTGTTTTTGAGTTACACCATATTTTGGAGAAAGCTAACATTATCTCTATTTTCTTTGTTAATTGCGACTCTGCAGCAATTACAATATAAGTTTGCTGTGTACACAGCACTGATTTTGGGCTAGCTGGTGGTTCTACAAGTTTTTATTGCATATTTATCACAGATAGATATACATTGCTTATGTTTTTTACAATTAGCCTGTTTTTCCTATGCCTTTGCACCCAGACCTGCAACAAATATAACTTTCAAACATACTTTACATTTTACCAAATACATATAATTGGGACATTTTTGCACCCATTGTTTATTATTATAGTCATTTAACTGATGATCTTGAAATTTAGCTTTATATTTGACTAACATTTTCTATTCTAAAAATACAAAAATATTTAAACTTTATTAAAATAAAAATGTGAATAAAAATAATTTTGATTCCCAGAATTGTTTGATATATTTGTTTGATTCCCATGAATTGTCACTGGCAGAAATAAGAAAAAAGCAGAAAAAGAAATTATAATTAAAAAACTATCATTTGAAAATACAAAAACTAATGTACCCAGTATTAAAGACCTCAATTTTTTGTAAATTATGGCAGTGTAAAGTAAGAAGTAAGAACAGAACACAAAAGTTGCATAATAAATAGATTTAAAAAGTAATACAATTTTTTATAATATATTAAATATATTCGTACAAGGATAATTAATTAGATAAAATGAATATGTAAAAAAAACTAAATTTGGTGAATATGTGAAACCATGTTGTAAAAATCTTTTAAAACAAATGTTGTTAAATATATATTTATATGGTTAAACAAATATAATTTAATTCTGTTGTGTACACAGTATTACCTTTAGTGCAACTGGTGGTTTGATAACTATTTTTTTTTTTCTTTAATCACAGGCAATGTGAAATAAGACAGAAATAATAATAAAAAAAAACTTAAACTTTATTAGAATAAAATTTTTAAATTCAAAAGAAAACAAATATTACATTTGAGTAAATTATTTTTAATATACAACAATATACAACAATACTAACTTCAAAAATGAATAATTTCATTACTTTATTGTTGATTGGCTAACAATAATTTATGTAATATACTCAGGAAAAATAAATTAGGAGAATTTAGGAGTATTTGAGAAAATCATCTATATTTTAGGAGAAATTAGATTTTTTGAGGAGTTTTTTTTTAATATTAGGATATTTTAGGAAGCATGACCACCCTGTGAAGGATTTAGTCTAATGGAAGTAGTTCAAATTATCTTCATTTAATTACTCATATGTTTAGACAAAAAGATTCATTAGCTCAAATATCTAAAATTGAGACATCACCATAATATATGTTTTTAAAATAAGCTACTCAATGTAACAAAAACAACGACGAAACGCATTTGATGAAAAGCAATGATGAAATGCAATTGACGAAAAGCAGTGATGAAATGAAATCGATGAAAAGCAATGATGAAATGCAATTGATGAAAAGCAATGATGAAATACAATTGATGAAAAGCAATGATGAAATGCAATTGACAAAAAGCAGTGATGAAATGAAATCGATGAAAAGCAGTGATGAAATGCAACTAATGAAAAGCAGTGATGAAATGCAATTGATAAAAAGTAATGACGAAATGCAATTGATGAAAAGCAGTGATGAAATGCAATTGACAAAAAGCAGTGATGAAATGAAATCGATGAAAAGCAGTGATGAAATGCAACTAATGAAAAGCAGTGATGAAATGCAATTGATGAAAAGCAATGATGAAATGCAATTGATAAAAAGTAATGACGAAATGCAATTGATGAAAAGCAGTGATGAAATGCAATTGACAAAAAGCAGTGATGAAATGAAATCGATGAAAAGCAGTGATGAAATGCAACTAATAAAAAGCAGTGATGAAATGCAATTGATGAAAAGCAATGATGAAATGCAATTGATGAAAAGTAATGACGAAATGCAATTGATGAAAAGCAGTGATGAAATGCAATTGACAAAAAGCAGTGATGAAATGAAATCGATGAAAAGCAGTGATGAAATGCAACTAATGAAAAGCAGTGATGAAATGCAATTGATGAAAAGCAATGATGAAATGCAATTGATAAAAAGTAATGATGAAATGCAATTGATGAAAAGCAATGATGAAATGCAATTGACAAAAAGCAGTGATGAAATGAAATCGATGAAAAGCAGTGATGAAATGCAACTAATGAAAAGCAGTGATGAAATGCAATTGATGAAAAGCAATGATGAAATGCAATTGATGAAAAGCAATGATGAAATGCAATTGATGAAAAGCAGTGATGAAATGTAATTGATGAAAAGCAATGATGAAATGCAATTGATGAAAAGCAATGATGAAATGCAATTGATGAAAAGCAGTGATGAGATGCAATTAATGAAAAACAATGATGAAATGCAATTGATGAAAATCAATGATAAAATGCAATTCCTTTGAAACTATTCAAGTAATAGTAAACTAAGTAACTACTTAGTTTACTTAAAAAATCTTTAACTACTTTTTCATTTTAATATATTAATATATTAAAATGAAAAAGTAGTTAAAGATTTTTATAACTGTTTGCAATCAACTGCATAATATAATGGATCAGAAAAAATAATTTTTTAAATCTAGAAATATAAGAACATACCCGTACTTAAACTGTTAGAGGTCGAAAAAAAAATTGGCTCAAAGAGGTTACCAAAAAATATAGAAACGAGGTCAGCGATTTTTTTATATCTTCTATAGTGTATTTAGATACCATTTGCTCACTAGTTTTGCTTATCTTTATAGCATATAGCGTTTTCCGAAAAGTAAGAAAAAAACAAAGAATAATGAAAGAAAAGATTGCTGTCCCATCCCAAACCCTCAGTTGATGTAGCAGCAAGCTACACCAGTATATACTTACAAGCTAATGTAGACTTCAT